CATTTACCTCTGAATTACAGAGCAGAAAGTGAAAATACTAAAGTACAAGTACCTCAAAACTATACTCTGGTAAAGTAAAAAGTACAATATTGTTATCATATTTCATATCTTGTAAAAACATCTTGTCAATAACATTTGACGTAGTCATATCTGATGCAGATTCATCTGATGTTCTCTGTAATATTGTGATATTTTAATATTACATCGATGGAGGCGTCAAATCAGCCAGTTGGCTTTCTGCCTCTTCCTGCTCTGTGCATTTTATTTTTTAAATTGTGCAAATAAATAAACATCTAAACATCAGCACATATCATCACGAGACCCAAGATTAGTATATATAATAAACAAATAAATATACCCTATTTATGTTTAAATAGTCTATTTAAATAATAGTAGTTGTTGGTTGTAAATCTCAGCGGGTGAAGCCAAAGGTGACTGTCATCGATGCACTCTACTGGTGTAAACTGGTTCCTCGTGAATCAGCCAATGACATCATCTCTGCCTCGGTGAAATACCGTCGCACTGATCCGTGCCGTCCCGTTGTCTCCATCCCGCATCGTCGGCACTCGGTGAGTCTGACAGCGTTAATCCCACCGAGACAAACTCCTTCCATAAATATTGTCTTCGTGTGCCGGAGTGGTCCCGCTGTGTTCTGGGTCTGAGCAGTGGGCGGCTGGTGGGACACCTCAAACCGAGCAAAACCGGCACCGTCTGCCAGACTTTCCATGAGGTCATCTCTGGCCGGCATCAAGCTCTCTTTGAGTTTATAGTCCTGCTAAGAGCCTCAAACGCTGAGCTGGAAGATGAGTTTTTATTGCACTTAACAGCGACGTATGAACACTGGCCTGCTCTCAGAACCCCCCAACACAGACGAATCTGGACTGATTGTGTAAAAATGTTCCGGATCATTTGGGTTCCTTCTGTGCAGAACAGAGAACAGAAAGTGTTTGTTCTCCATCAATCAAAAGAGTTCCTCGTTTGACGAATGAGGCGTCACTGTGAGAAGGAGGCGGAGCTCCGACCTGCAGCTTCCAAACACTTCTGTCCATCACAGATGATTCTTATCAACTCTGCAGAACTTTAGCTTGTAGTCTAAGTCCAGACACAGTGAGACACTAGCTGGTCTCTCACTCTAAGTTTCTCAGCTGTGAACCTTTGCTGCTTTTCTTTCTCTTGTGTGACCGAACGCTGTCAGTCTACTGGTATTATTTTGGGGTTCTGGCCTGTTCAGACAAACAAAAACAAGTTTGAAGAAGTTGCCTCAGGCTTGAGGAAGCTGTGATGGTCTGACATTTTATAGAGGAAACAATGTGTTGACAAAATACTCTGATGGTTAATAAATGTAATCTTGTGAATCTTTTGTTATCAGAGTGAACCAGCTGTGGCTCGGTGGGTTTTCTATATATTTAATATCCTTTGAGCTCTTTGCGGGCACCTCTTCTCACCAATATACAGAAGTATCAGTGGCCGGACCAGCAGACTTCAGAACAGCTTCTTTATCAGGCTGAGACTCCTTCATTCACCCTCCACCCTCCACCATATCATATAGGTTTCCCTTTGCGTTTGTTCTTCTCTTATAGCAAAGTTGGACTAAAACTGCATTTTGCTGCACACTCCTGAGTTGTCCAATGACAGTGAATGAGAGCGTGACCCTTTAGTAAATGAGTCTGTAAAGAGGGCGTTGCTGCTGACGCGTCCAGATTTCGTCCTGATGGCAGATGGTGAAAAATAACTTTTAAATGTTTATCGGAGCAAAGTTAAGAGGAAAGGATCCACTTGAAACCAGCAACAACAGCCTTCATAGGAATGTGGTGTTCATTGGTAGAGTCGTGACACTACTGGTGTAAGATAAAGGCTACCAGTGACCTTTGACTCCCAGGGTATCGAGTGTCCTCTCCTCAGGTCCTTGTTCTGTCTGGAATCACGTTTCCACTCAGATCAGAGGAATGCGTGCAGTTTTAACTTTATTCATAATTACCTGCAGTCACCAGCAGATGCAGAGAAAAGAGCTGAAAACATTTCATCATGCTCAGATATGTTTTGAACTTCTCCACCATCAAAGATCGTCTCTCGCTCTGTTTTTCTTTTTGCGAGGTCAACTTCAAAGCTGCTGATAAGCTCTCCGCTGGAGGAAGGAACGAGGCTGTTCCGCCTTCTTCATCCCGTTCCAGTTAGACCTCCGGAGGTCTCTGATTAGAAACACCACAGACTACGCTTTCCTTTCCTCAGATGCTTCACCGACCCGCTCTGTGTTTGTTAACTCAAGGAGAGAGGAGAAAGCTCTGGTTCAGTCTTCAGCAAACTATCAGAAACTCTGTCAGGCCTTCACATTATTAATGTAGGCTGCAAATTATTGATTAACCTGCAGATTCATTTCTCAAAGAATCTCTGTCTATCAAATGGTCCTAAAAGCTTCACAAAGTGATGTCTTTAAATTCTTTATTTTATGTGAAGAAAAGTCCAAAAACCGAATAAGTATTGGATTGACTGTCATCTATGTAAACGGCACAAATCCTCATATTTAAGAAGCTAGAACCTGCTCATTTATGACTGAATTTTGTTCAATAAATGACTTAAATGGTTCGACTATTGAAATAGTTGTGTCAGTTCATCAGTGTGACTAATTGACCAATCGTACACACTCCAGTAGAATAAGTTCAGTAAAGTTGTTTTAAATCAGCTTAGTTATCTTTGTGGCAATATCTCTTCAAAATTTCTCTGATTTCTATCTTCTTAGATGTGTTGAAGGCTTATTAACCTCAATAGATTTGAATAAACACTGAACCAGAGAGCCATTCAGGACTGAGTGAAGTTGAGGTTTTTCCTTTAATTTGCAGCATCATTCTGTATCGATCGACTAATCGATCAGTCGTTGCAGCTTCATATTAAAGCATCATTCAGCAACAACGACCTCATGTTCTTACACGCTGGATATTTTCCTTCAACAGTTAATCTCAAGTATTTTGAAGTCAGTAAAATAACTCTACTTGTATTTGATAAACTCACGTTGTGACGTTGAGGCCGGCTGGTGTTTTATGATCTCTGCTCTCTGATCATCTAAACTGTCTTCACGGGATCGTTGCCTTGTGACTGGTAGCTACAGACGGATGGAGATGAACTCATCTCAACGCTGATGATGAGGTGTTTCCATGGTGGCGATCCGATGTTTACGGCTCACGCATGATGACTGCGTCTCACTTGTGTGCTCGGCTATTCAGCCTCGTGTTGGTGGCGATGATTCAGGGGGAAAATATCTGGAGAGAAAATAGCAGCGAGCGAGTCGATCCTCAGCCGCTGCTGAGTTCAGGGTCGTAAAAAAGAAAGAAGTGAGCGTTCAACGAGGCAGAGGAGAACACTTTTAAGACACTTTCCAATTCCCTGACTGCCCTATTCATGTCTGTCTTTAGTTTCCACCCCAGGAAGGTGTTTCCCTCAGAGACACAACACGGTGCAGACAGCGGCACGCTCTCAATGCTGAACTTTCACTTCATCGTGGTTCGTCTTCGCCTGTAAACTTTCATTTGATCACTAATCTAAAAGTCGAGGAACTGCTCAAAGTCCACTGTAGTCTTGCCCCAGTTGATGTGACCCCATATACTCGCCCAGTTGCCCTTTGACTTACTATTCATGCACAAATCAGAATCAGGTTATTGCAAAGTAGGTTTTGAAACTCATGGGTTCAGGGATCTTTTATTGGCACTCTGCAATACAGAAGTCCATCTATGCTGCATATCTTACACAACAACAGTAGTGCATTCCTGTAGTCCATATTCTGAAGTAGCATCCGGAGGAATGTAAACAGCAGCAACTAAAGCACTGGTGGAAAGTTGCAAAAAAAGTCATAGTATAGTGTGTAGAAATGTTTTATCGTATAGTATGTGGTAAAGGGTCATTAAATATTGGTGGTATGGGGGAGACTGTTGTCAGTGGTGCACACCGTCCTTTGATCAGATGGTTCAATCCTCGTCCATGTCGATGTGTCTTTGGACAAGACACTTGACCCCAAATCACTTCCGTAAATGCTGTGTGAACGTTAGATGGTCCTGATGCGCAGGTGGCAACTTTCATGGTAAGTTAATTTAGCAATTAACATCATTTACTAAATGAGCATGGATGAGAGCTCTGGCTCCCTGTAAGAGCCCGCATCCAGTTTAAGACTCTGGTGCTAGCCTACAGGGCAGTGAAGGGAACAGCTCCTTCCTATCTCCAGGCCACGGTCAAGCCCTACACCCCGGCCCGACCTCTTCGCTCTGCTGCCTCGGGGCGATCGGTTGCCCCGTCGCTCAGAGGTCCCTGCGGCCGATCGACCCGGTCGCGGCTGTTTCCTGTCCTGGCCCCCCAGTGATGGAATGAGCTCCCCACTGACGTCAGGACGGCAGAGTCGCTGCCCATCTTTCATCAGGCTGAAGACTCTCCTCTTCAAGAAGGCCTACCTGAGCCTTCCACTCACCACTTACTTAGCATTTATTGTATTCATACTAGCTTATTGCACTTATTGTATTCATATTAGTTTGTGGCACTTATTGCATTCGTTTGTTTCTGCACTGTACGTTGGCTCTGGTTTATGCTCTTGTTTGAAGAGAGGAGATGCACTTATGACTTCTGGTGACTAGTTCTCTCGAAAACCGATGTTGAATACACTTACTGTAAGTCGCTTTGGATAAAAGCGTCTGCTAAATGACTGTAATGTAATGAACATCATGCTGTATTGAAGAAGACTTGAAACTAGAGATTGAGACCATAAACTCATGTTTACAATGTTTACTGAGGTAATAAATCAAGAGAGAAGTAGAGTCATTTTCTCATAGACTTCTACACAACCAGAGGAGTCGCCCATATGTAGTGAAGTAAACAGAACAATCTTCTCCCTGTAGTTGAGTTAAAAGTATTAAATTGTACTTAAGTAATGTTACGTTAGTGACGTTGCTCCACTGATGAATAACAACGGGAGCGAGCGGTGGAACGAGTCGCCTCCTCACAGAAAGACACACAAGAGTTCACATTTTCAGTAGTTTTATTGAAAAATGCCTCTTCTGTTTTCAGAAATAAATAAGAAAATAAGGCCGTGGAATTCACAATCTGCAGTTCAAACATGAAGCAGCAACACCACTTCCATAGTCACGCAGGTTTATCTGACTGCATTCGATACTGAGAGAATGACAACTATATTCTGGTTAAAACAAGAATGAAACGTAACAAAAAACAACAAAAGAACATCTACTAAATATACACCACAGACATGCAATTCCACCTTTGTTTGTTAAAATGAGCTGTGACGGAATAAAGGAAAAACAGATAAATATGAAGTCTAGAGATACAAGATGAAAGCTGAGTTTAATGAACCTGAACCTGCTTTCTTTAGCTTCGTTACAGCAAACTGGATGCAAATATGTTACAAGCAGAAGAAACAGACAAGTGGAAAAGGAAAGATCTCAGGTTTCTCTTCTTGCTGTTTTCGTGGATTCTTAACGTTTCTCCATTCAAACTTTTCAACCTGCTACAAAAACATGAATATTCACATACGTTTGAAGACATTTAAGGTGTTTTCCAATAAGAAGTCGAGGTGTCAAACCCCCTTTTATATCTTTATGTGTTTATAATGTGCAGGAATCCAAGATGTTGGTCTTATGACGTTAGCCTGCAGGATGGCTATCTGGACAGCGACCTCTTTCGACGCTGGTTTTGCGACAGCTCGTCCTCCTCGGGGTCTGGGACCACTCGGCCTGCTCGGAGATATCGTTTGGGCCAATTGAGCACAGGTTTCTCACTTTCTCTTTACCATGCACACAAACAACCCCACCAGGCTGAGGAGCTGTTTAGAAGTGGCTTAAAGTCTAAAGCACCGATATCGATGGAGAGCAGAGAGAAGGGGGCGTGGCCATCCACATATTTACTCGCTAACAAAAAAAAGCTGCATTTTAAAAATTTGTTCCAAAACCAATTCTCTGTTTTTTTCTGATCATACAAACAATGAATTGTACGTTGCAGCTTTATTACGTTTAAAGATGAGTTTGTGTCTTCTGAGCGATTCCTCGGTAAATGTTCCGATTGGTCGTCATGGGTTTGTGGGTTTGGTTTAGAACTGATCCAGCTGTTGATCTCTTTCTCTCTTTTCTTTTATTAGCAGCGTAGGAAGCATCCAGGTAACAATGTTCTCCGTGTTTGTTCTCTGTCTTAAGGATCCACATTACGTCACACTTTAGCTCCGCAGCGGTTCAGATTAAAACTAGTCTGGTTAATGTCTCCTCTGCTGTTCCCCAGAGATTAAACACACATTAGGACCTTCAACATGTACACGTTAACGGGCTACAACTCTTATTCTAACGTGTGGGATACTTCATATTTCAGATGTTATGCTCGTAAAAATTCAAATCAGGTTTTTGCTTCTCAGCCACATAAGAGATCTTTGAGTTTTAGTTATTTACTAAATCACATGATGCCATGTGCACGGAGCAGTTATTGGTGCAACAGGCTGCAGGTTATTATGATTATAAATTCATGATATTTCATAATATATCCGGATACTTTTTCTTTTATTGTTGATGCTTAAAGAACTTTAGAAAGCTAAATACGGAGAGCATCTAAACTGGGATGTTTGGCCGAGATACCGCCAATCAACTAATCAACTGCCAGCTTTTTGGGCGGGGCCTCAGGTTGGACACGCCCCCTACTCTTAACATCTCAGTGCTGTTTCCTTTCTGTTGATGATGAACTCATTCATTCACAAAGTAAAACATTTCTAAGTTCAAAGACACTTCTTTGGGATTGCGTTGTTAGTGTTTTATATAACTTACAGACACAGTAAAGATGGTTTTGGGGAGAAGAAACGTCAAATAAAAGAAATATAAAAGGTGTCAGATCTAAACGTTGGGGGGGTCACATGTGCAGAAGTGATTCAGAGGCCCTGAGCAGTTTAAAACACACGGGTAATAATAAATCAGTAACAATAAGAGAGGCGTTTTCTTTGGTGTTGGCATTCAGCAAGCAGCAGGTTGTTGGTTTGCGAGGCTCAAGCTTTAAAACTGCAGATGTTAAGAACTAAATGTAGTGATTCAAACATCATTTACAAGGAAAGAATTAGTTTATTTACACTGAAGAGAAATGCTGTTAACAGAGTTACTGCTGCTGCTACTTCTCTGCTACAGATCCACCTTTGTTAGTATCGGGTTGTTGTTGTTGTTGTTGTTGTTGTTGTTGTTGTTGGGTGCATGCTCCTCCACCGAACACAACGGTTCTGTGTTTTGGTCTTTGGCGTCAAGCTGCAAACAGGCCACTGGACGGGTCGGCGCTTTGTGAGTCGCTGTTAGTTTCCCTCTTTGTTGTTGTTGTTGTTGACTTGTGTTTGTTTGTTAAAGGTTTTTCCTTCGGCTGGTTATCCGTGTTTAAAACAGCTGGAGAGCGTGTGAGCGATGTGTTGTGTGTTTGTTCAGGCGGTCAGTGAAAGCAGCACATAGAAAGTCTACTGTGAACCTGGAACAGGCCGAGAGAGGATGAAGGAGTCAGTCAGGACCGAGCGGAGGAGACAGAGAATTCAAACATGTCTGAGGTTGTAAAACGATTAGTCACTTCCTTCTAACGCATGCATTGATCCTCAAGAAGAAGCAGCAGTCCCACACTCTGGGAGATCCTTGTTTTCTGTCTCAGAGCCTCGACACACACAGAGGAATGTGGGGAAACATTCAGCTCTCGGATTTCAATGTTTCCGTTTGTGTCAGATGGAGTAACTGAGGAGAAACTAGAGCACGCTGGGTCCAACAATGACCCGACATAAACAAGTCTGTTCTAATGAGAGTATCCACCTCTGACGCCACATGTCCATAATAAGATTATTATTAACATTTATATTTACGGCAGAATATTAGCATTAATATTATTGATATTGTTTGCGACACAGTGTGACAGATGATGTGTGTGAAGGTCTTTAATCAGAGTCGGGTGGATTATTCCATGTTTAGCCTAGCTTAGCACAATGACTGGAAGCAGGTGGAAACTGCTAGCCTAGCTCCATCCAGAGGAAGCTGTTGCATCTTGTTTACTGAACAGGTGTTTGGTATTAATACAATGATGCTTTACTCTGAGGACGACAAACCAAATATATTAAAAGTTTAAATCACAAACAGTCTCATCAAGATTCTTCAGACACATTTCAGACATCAGATTTAAAGTTGTACTTTGTCCTCTTTTGATGGAGCTAGGCTAGCAGTTTCCCCCTGCTTCGAGTCTTTGTGCTAAGCTAGGCTAACCCCACCTGGACCTGCCGGTTCTGTACTGGACCCGCGTTCTCATCTGACTCAGACGGGAGACAGAAAACAAGCATCTCTCTCTCAGAACGCTGGACGTGCTCCTCCACAAAATAAAGAAACAGCTGAACTATGAGCAACATTTAGCAGGAAGTCACTTCATGAATACAACCAGGCTAACGCGCCTCGTGCTCGTGGTGCTACGTACCTCCGTATCCCTGCCCGTTGTAAGGAATACCGACGCACTGAGAGGAATCGCAGTATCCAGGAGGTCCGGGGGGTCCGCGGACTCCTGCGTGTCCCGGACGTCCGGGGGGGCCGCGAAGTCCGGCGGCGCCTGAAGGGCCCGCGGGTCCTGTTCTGCTTTCTCCTGGTGGACCTGGTGGAGGAACAGAAAGTGTTGTTTGTCACAAAGGAGGGAGCGGACTTGTGCTTTACACCCTCCATTCACAGCAGCTGTCTACGTTGGGACAAACAGAAGAACCCTTTAGTCACAACTGTTACTCAGCTCGCTGCGTTCTTCATCCTCAGCAGTACGGAAGCTCATCTTTAAACTTTAAAAGACCAAACAATTTATCAAAAAAATGAAAAATAATAGTTCGTTGTATCACTTTATGTAACAGTGCCAACTTACACAAAGACCCGAGGTCGTCACATTGTCAAATAACTGAAAGATTGGCAGCAAAACTTTAAAAAGAAAAGATTTAATTTACTTTATGCTTTCCTCATAATCCCTGTTCTCTAATTGGTTGAGTTCTGGGTTGTTTAGTAATAAAACATGCACATATACATATACACATATATATACACATATATATACACATATACATATATATATACATATATACACATATATACACATACATACACATACATATATACATATATATACATATATGTATATATATATATACATATATACATATATATACACATATATACACATATATACATATATATATACATATATATACACATATATATATACATATATATACACATATATATATACATATATATACACATATATATA